AAATATATGAGTTTGTATGTAATGTATGAATATAATATACAAGTTTCACTTTTTAAATGGAATTACTGAAATAAATCTACTTTTTCATGATATTCTAATTTTATGACCAGCACCTGTATGTGTGTCTAAAAGCAGCTGAACTGAACTAAAATGAATCAATTGTTAAAGTGCAGATGTGTTGGTCTCCTGAAGATAAATATAAAAAAAACAAGGTTTTACTTCATATTTTAACACAAAAGTAAACAAAAGTAGGCGTCTCTGCAGGGTCTGTTTTCTGTGATGACAACAGCTGAAGTTATTKCAATCCCTTAATACTCGCTAAAGGGAAAAGAAAAGCAGCTCAAGTTGTTTTACAAATCCACATCAAACACTAAACCATGTTGATCACTTACTGGTTTGTGTAAGCGTGTGAACTATGATGTGAAATAAATATTAGATTACTGTCAATGCTTAGCTAAATTAAACACATTTCTAAGAGAAAGAGAAATTGCTATAAATGGTTAAAGCAGCAAAGATTTAGAATTAATTTCTACAATTAAACAGTGAATTATTCCCATTTAAATAGCTATTTCACCAGAGGCCAACGAGCCTCCTGCAGATGGATATTTTTTTTAATTTATTTATTTTTTTACCATTCGGCCATGCAGCCAGTCTGCCACTCCTTCTGCGGTGGAATCGGGGATCTGGCAGCGCAGGTTGTCCCTTTCCTCGTTGTCCATCAGCTCCAGTGCCGCTCGCAAGTCCTCCAGAAGGTGCAGCACTCGAAAGCCACCCAGGAAAGGCGACGTGGGCGACTGGCAGTCAAACAGCCCATTGGAGTAATCAATGGCCTTAGAGCCTTGGGGGGGAGCAGAGAAACAAGTCCAAACCAGTTTCTAACTGGGCTGAAARTCTTGGAGACTGATTATCAAAACTGTAAGAAAGTGAGCAAATTRTCTGTTTCAGGCTCACTGAATTCTGAGGATTTATGAGTGAGCTGCGCYGCCATGAGCTCTGTGGCATCATTTCACATAGCCAGTTGTTGAAAACCACGGCCTACTTGTGTGTGCGCAGCTCGCTAAACTGTTTGAAACTTCATTGTGAATGTTGATCACCAGCGAGCCAACAGCCACGGCTCAGAGATAAACTGGCTTCAGAATAATTTATAAGAATGAAAATTCAAAGCAACAACGGCACAAAATAAAACTGACGTGAAACCAAAATGAGAATGAAATGATTTTGATTCCCACACCCTAAATAGCAGGCTGTAATTTGGAAGGATTTATGACCCAGACCACACTCGGTTTTAATCTGTGGGAAGGGAGCGACATGGATGAAATGCTCAAGCTGTGCCGTTTTGAGCTTATTGTTTTTTGTTTTCAAGACTTTCTTATCTGTTTAACATACAGTAGAAAACTGTTGTGTACATAAAACCTTTTTATATGCAGAAAGAATAAGGTTGTGGCGTGACTTCTGTCATGCGCATGGCTTTTCTTCAAATGTCTGATTGTGAAGCAGAATGTTTTATTTTATTTTATTTCAAGCTCAGATTTCAGGACACAGATGCAAATGCTGGCACATCCTTGAGTTTCAATTGTTTTTAATTAAATGTATTATATTGATTATAAAAGCTAAATATAGTCAAAAATGAAGACAAATGGGATTTCAAACAAGTGTTTTTCTCTCAAAAGGTAGCAGTGGAAAAAAACACACTTTAAAAAGGTTATATTTTTGTACATTTTCTTATTACTGTCTTTAATCACATCCGTCAAATTATAATTAATAAAAAGGAGAAACTTTATTTTGAGATTATTTTTACTCCTACTTGAGCAACCATTTCAAAAACAACAAAAACATCGCAGCAAAATCAATTATTCTTCTCTCCACTTCAACTCTCACTCCTGAAAACACACTGAATGCCCAGGAAACAGTATAAACAAAGACAAATACAATTCCTTGTGTAACTATGGAAACCATATTTAAATTTCATCTTTGAAATATAAGAACAGACTGAACTAGAATACATGATGTCCTTCTCATCATGTGCTATTCCACACCATCTGTCTGTCATCCTAAATGTCAGCTATAATGAAGACGTTCCAGATTAATAAAGCAGCTCAATAATAAATAAATAGAAAAATACCCAGACAATCACGGCTTTCCCACAGTGGTGAAGGACTGGGGCTTGGTGAGGAAACGGGGGCAGAGACTGGTGGGTGTCATGTGATCAGCCGCCTCACTCCCATTGGAAAGGTCAGTGCTATAATTATATACATCAGCGGAAAAGTGGGGACTCTAAAGCTGAAGCCTGGTCTGCTCATCTACAGCAGCACAATCATACAGAGCAAAGCACAAGTTTGTATTCTGACGTGGTAGAGTTTAGTTTCCATCAGTGCAAGAACAATGGAAACATTTTGTAAATTCCAATAAACTGGAGGCAGAAAAGATCCAGGGATTTTTTTTCTATATATATATTCAGATAGTATTAAAATGCAGGTAGGAAAAGAGGACACACTGTGCTACGTCCATTTCCCAGCTTCCAATTTAATCATCTCCAGATGTGACCAGACTTCATGGCAAGCTATGCCCAGAGTTGTAAAGTAACTAATTACAAATACTTTGTTTCTGTACTTAAGTAGAATTTTTTGGGTATCTGTACTTTACTTGAGTAATTATTTTTCAGCCTACTTTTTACTTCTACTTCTTACATTTTCACACAATTATCTGTACTTTCTACTCGTTACATTTTTAAAAAAATGTTTAAAGAGAGGGAAGGTATGAACTGAGAGGGAAGGGTAGCTAATGCAACCATGTGTATGCAGTACTCTTAAAAGTATGTGCATAGCAGTTTGTGGAGTGGTTTTGTGGAATGGCTTAGAATTCAAGAGAAAATATAAGGAGTAAAAATATAAATAAATAATATATATATATGTATACGTATATATAT